TACATGGCAGTAATACCAACTTCCCCTAAGAAAGTTCCCTGCAAGAGCTACATGCCTTGTAACCTTGCTTTCCAGATACCCCTCATACAGCACGAACATCGCACTTGGAAGGAAACGGAACGAGGATGCTCATCTCTAACCTTCATCACAACGCCAGTCGATGAGCTACTGACAACTGCCATTGCTCGTTCGCTTCCGCTGGTTTCCTGCTACACGGCAGTGATACTACCTTTCTCCGAGAAAATTCCTTGTGAGAGCTACATGCCTTGTAACCTTACTTTCCAGATACCCCTCATACAGTACGAACATCGCACTTGGAAGGAAACGGAACGAGGATGCTCATCTCTAACCTTCATCACAACGCCAGTCGATGAGCTACTGACAACTGGCACTGCTCGTTTGCTTCCGCTGGCTTCCTGCTACACGGCAGTGATACTAACTTCCTCCGAGAAAATTCCTTGTGAGAGCTATATGCCTTGTAACCTTACTTTCTGGATAACCCTCATATTTGGAAATATTTTGAAAAAGCAATTAAGAGCCATCCACTTTCCAAAAGACTAGCTCGCAAGGGAACTGAAAACTCCAACTAATGGTTTATTAGATCTATGTTATTGTTGGCATGTTTTTCCACCTCTTCATGAGCAGTTTTCACATGTCAAAGTTCACTTGAGGATTCTTTGAACTATGCAGAATCAGAGGCTGGAGAACATGAACCCAACTGTATGGCCCACAACACAGTAATGTCACAAGGTTGGATAAAAACTATGAGGCTGGTACATCAAAGCTTGCCTTTCATTTCTAATGAGAGACCGTGTGGTGCAATGGTTTGAGGGCTGGAATAAAACTTCAGTCATGACGGAAACCCATGCCATTGGCAGTGGGAAATCATAACAGCTCTAACCAGAGCGCATGTGCATTAGAAGGTTTAGAAAGGAAAACAAGTATCAGGTTTTAGCCTAGTATGTCCATGGCCAAAACCTACAGGGTATAATTGCAGAAACATTTTTATGTCTGCATGAAAATGTTATGGAAAGACATTGTGTTGGCAGCGCTCCCTTGGATGTTGTCACCTGGTGTACTTTGTACCCCTTCTTTCCCTATAGTGATGCCACTTAGGGTGCATCTACACTGAAGAAAAATGCAGCTTGACACCACTTTAACTGTCATAGCACGATGATATTTATTGACTTATTTACTGCATTTGTATACTAACTTTCTCAGCCAAAGGCCACTCAAGGCGGTTCACAGTCAGCAGCAATTCGATGCCATAACAAATATCAAAAGGAGCCCCCGGTGGTGCAGTGGGTTAAACCCCTGTGCCGGCAGGACTGAAGACCGACAGGTCGCAGGTTCGAATCCGGGGAGAGGCGGATGAGCTCCCTCTATCAGCTCCAGCTCCTCATGTGGGGACATGAGAGAAGCCTCCCACAAGGATAGTAAAAACATCAAATCATCCAGGCGTCCCCTGGATGATTTGATTGGCCGTCTTTGCAGTCGGCCAATTCTCTCACACCAGAAGCGACTTGCAGTTTCTCAAGTCGCTCCTGACACGACAAAAAAAAATATCAAAATACAGTTAAAACAATTATAAAACAATTCAAGATTTAAATATAATACAAAAACATGTAATATAAAAAGCAAATATATCTGTAAAAACAAGATCCTCGGCGTCTCCTTACTAAAATCATTGCCCAGTTGCATCGTCAATCATTCCATATACTCGTTTACATCTAATTATGCTCCAGTAGAAAAAGTTTGCTTGAAGAGCCATTTTGCGGAATGTTAGAAGGGAGGTAGCCAATCTTATATCCCTGGGGAGGGTGTTCCATAGCAGAGGGGCCACCACTGAGAAGGCCCTGTCTCTCGTCCCCGCCAAACGCGTCTGCAAGGAAGGCGGGATCAAGAGCAGGGCCTCCCCAGATGATCTTAAAGTCCTAGATTGTTCATAAGGAGAGATACATTTGGATAGGTAAGCCGGACCGGAACCGTTTATGTTATGCAATCCTGGGAGTTGTAGTTTGATGAGAAGTTGTAGTTTCAGCTCTTTGGCAAAGAAGGCTCAAACCCTTGTAAAATTTCAACTTCGAGAATTCCATAGCATTGAGCCAAGACAATTAAAGTGGTGTCAAGCTAGAACATAGGGAGCCGCAGTGGTGCAATGGGTTAAACCCTTGTGCCAGGTGACCTGCGGACCTGAAGGTCGATGGTTCTGTGAGTATCAGCCCCAGCTTCCCATGAGGGGACATGAGAGAAGCCTCCCACAGGATAGCAACACATCTGGGAGTCTCTTGGGCAACATCTCTACAGATGGCCAATTCTTTCACACCAGGAGTGACTTGCAATTTATCAACATGTTAAAAAAGAGCTGTAACATGTCCAGAGAAGGGTGACCAAAATGATCAATTGTTTGAAAGCTCAGCTCTATCAGAAGTGGCTCAGGATCTGGATCTCTTTAGAATGGAGAAAAGAAGGTTGAGAGAGGACGTGAGAGCCATGCCTAAATATCTGAAGGAAGTTCCCATTGAGGAGAGGGTGCTGTTTCAGAGACTAGGAGACAATGGAGCCATGGATTCAAATTGCAAAAGAAGGCATTCCACCTAAACATTGGGAAGGAATTCCTTATAGTAAGAGCTGTTCAACAGTGGAATATATATACTGCGTCAAGTATGGTAGAGCCTCCTTCTCTAGAGATGTATAAGCTGGACAGCATCTGTCGGGAGTGCTTTGATTGTATTTCCCTGCGTGGTGGAATGGGGTTGGGCTGGATGGTCTTTAGGTGTCTCTTTCCATGCTATGATTCTATACTTATAAAGGGGAATCATGACAAATGCTCCTTGTTATCACTAGTCACTGATCAAAGGTCTGGAGACAATGAATCCCTATGAGGATCATCTTGAAGAACTGGGCATGTTTAGCCTGCAGAAGAGAAGGTTGAGAAGAGACATGATAGCCATGTATACATATGTGAAAGGATGCCATAAGGAAGAGGGGCCAGGCTTATTTTCTGCTGCCTTGGAAACTAGAACTTGGAGCAGTGAGTTCAAACGACAAGAAAGAAGATTCCACCAGAACATTAGGAAGTACTTCCTGACTCTAAGACCTATTCAGCAGTGGAACTCTCTGCCTCGGTGTCTGGTGGAAGCTCCTTCTTTAGAGACTTTTAAACAGAGGCTGGATGTCCATCTGTCAGGGGCACTTTGATTGTGCTCTCCCTATATGGCAAGCGACTCTTGCTATAAGGGGCTGTGGTGGTGCAGCACGTTAAACAGCTAAGCTGCAAAACTTGCTGATTGGAAGGCCGGCTGTTTGAATTTGTGGTGAGCTCCCGCTGTTAGCCCCAGCTTCTGCCAACCTAACAGTTTGAAAACATGCAAATGTGAGTAGAGCAATATATACTGCTCTGGTGGGAAGGTAAGAGCATTCCATGCAGTCATGCTGGTCACATTACCTTGGAGGTGTCTATGGACAATGCTGGCTCTTTGGCTTAGAAATGGAGATGGCCACCAACCCACAGAGTTGGACTCGACTAGACTTCATGTCAAGGTGAAACCTTTACCTTTACTTTACTCTTGTTATTAGTGACACTTTCCAAGACAGGATTCTACTATCATAAAACCAAGACCTTCCTTAGAATCATAGAATCAAAGAGTTGGAAGAGACCTCATGGGCCATCCAGTCCAACCATTCTGCCAAGAAACAGGAATATTGCATTCAAAGCACCCCTAACAGATGGCCATCCAGCCTCTGTTTAAAAGCTTCCCAAGAAGGAACCTCCACCACACTCCGGGGCAGAGAGTTCCACAGCTGAATGGCTCTCACAGTGAGGAAGTTCTTCTTCATGTTCAGATGGAATCTCCTCTCTTGTAGTTTGAAGCCATTGTTCCATTGCGTCCTAGTCTCCAGGGAAGCAGAAAACAAGCTTGCTCCCTCCTCCCTGTGGCTTCCTCTCACATATTTATACATGGCTATCATATCTCCTCTCAGCCTTCTCTTCTTCAGGCTAAACATGCCCAGCTCCTTAAGCCCTCCTCATAGGGCTTGTTTTCCAGACCCTTGATCATTTTAGTCGCCCTCCTCTGGACACATTCCAGCTTGTCAATATCTCTCTTGAATTGTGGTGCCCAGAATTGGACACAATATTCCAGGTGTGGTCTAACCAAAGTGGAATAGAGGGGTAGCATGACTTCCCTGGACCTAGACACTATGCTCCTCTTGATGCAGGCCAAAATCCCATTGGCATGGTGGTTGTGAGAGTGGTCCAGCATTTTTGTGTTCTCAAATAGTACGCTGTGTCCAGATTGGTTCATCAGGTGCTCTGCTATGGCTGACTTCTCTGGTTGAAGTAGTTTGCAGTGCCTTTCATGTTCCTTTATTTATGTTTGGGCGCTGCGTTTGGTGGTCCCTATGTAGACTTGTTCACAGCTGCATGGTATACGCAGAGGGGAAACAATCAAGGATATCTAATCACCTCTCAACAAAAGATTGCCCCAGGCACTGCCAGGACATCAAATGCTAATCAAGATGGTCAGTTGAAACATTCACACCTAGCTCCAGCAGACAAGAGTCCTTTGTCCCATCCTGGTCATTCCACAGATATATAAACCCTTTTTCCTAGTTCCAACAGACCTCACTACCTCTGAGGATGCTTGCCATAGATGCAGGCGAAACGTCAGGAGAGAATGCCTCTAGAACATGGCCATATAGCCCGAAAAAAACTACAACAACCCTACTGTCGAAAGGCTGCCCAAGCATTTGGTAGGTCAGGGAGCTGGTGTCACTTCCTCCTCTGATGTGGTCTGCACCCCCTTGGGAGGACCCTGAGTTGGAAGCCCTTCCCGGAGGAGGGGATTCTCCTCTCGAAGCCTGTCCCACTCGGTGACTCCCAAATCCGAAGGCTTAGGAGAAGGGGAAGGGGGTGTCTCTGGGCCTCTCCCCTCTTGGAAGGCGGCGGGCGGAGCATCTGGAGAGCTCAGCCTCCTCCTCCTCCTCCTCCTTCGGTGGCTGGGCTTTCTCGCGAGACAGAGGAGGAGCCGTGGGGCTGGCCGGGGCCCGGGAGGGGCCTCCGTCGCTGGAGGACCCGGGGCATCCCTCAAGGAGGCCGGAGAAGCAGCCGGACAGGCGGGGGGAGCCGGAGAAACGGTGCGACAAAAGCCGGGCGTCCAAAGCGGTGCGTAATGGTGCGGCTTTGGGGAGGGTGCCTTGGAGCCTCCCCACCTTCTGGGCCCCCTCTTCCCCCCTCCGAGATTCCCACGTGGATGCCAGCCTCGCCCTGGGAAAACGATGAGGAGGAAGTGGGCGAGATCCCCATTTCTCCCCATCTCTCTGGGGATCTCACCTTCTCCGGCTTGGCTGAAGAGCCTTCTTGCAGCCTCATCACACTAGAGAAAGAATCCACTTAAAACCCTGCAGAATTCTGGGGTTTGTAGTTTAGGAAAGAGCCTTTAACTACAAACCCCAGAATTCTGCAGGAGGCAGAAACCGGATTTTAAGGGGATTCTTTCTCTAGTGTGATGAAGTGATCATGACTCCTTTGTCTCCCTTTTCCTCCCCTCATGGTCTCCTTCCCCATGGGCCATCTCTTCTGACCTTCTTTGTACAGCCTCCCTTTGGCACCACTTGAACTCCCATGGCTCCGTGGGAATGGGATAGAATAGCTTTATTGTCGGGCTTTGAGGCTGCAAGGCCATTCAATGCTAATCCAGGCGGCCAATTGCCACATTCACCCTTTCCTGAGACAAGAGTTCTTTCTCCCACCTTGGACATCATTCCACAGATATATAAACCCCACTTGCCTAGTTTCCAACGCACCTCACAACCTCTGAGGATGCCTGCCATAGATGTGGGTGAAACAGGAGAGAATGCTTCTGGAGCATGGCCATACAGCCAGAAGGGGACAAAAAGACACATTGAGGATGGCACCAGAAGCCAGCCAGCCTAGCAAGACAGATCTATCTATCCATCCATCCATCCATCCATCCATCCATCCATCTATCCATGCATCCATCTATCTTCCCATCTATCTTTCCATCTATCTATCTATCTATCTATCTATCTATCTATCTATCTATCCATCCATCTATTTTTCCATCTATCCATCCATCCAGCTATTCATCTATCTATCCATCTATCTTTCCCTCTATCCATCCTTCCATCTATCCATCTATCCATCTATCTATCTCCAACAAGGCCACCACAGCAGGTTAACTGATTTCAAATACACAGCCCAGAAAACTCACAGCATCCCAGTGGGTGAAACATCAGGAGAGAATGCTTCTGGAGCATGGCCATACAGCCCAGAAAACTCACAGCATCCCAGTGGGTGAAACATCAGGAGAGAATGCTTCTGGAGCATGGCCATACAGCCCAGAAAACTCACAGGATCCCAGTGGGTGAAACATCAGGAGAGAATGCTTCTGGAACATGGCCATACAGCCCAGAAAGCTCACAACAACCCATAATAAGAATTGCTCACATTGGGCCCTTCCACACAGCCCTATATCCCAGAATATCTGAGTATGCATGGGCCAGGCCGGTGTTAGATGGATGGAGAGTGTATGTGTGAACTAATTCACACAGTGCAAACAACAATAACAACAACAGCAACACTAATAACAATAATTTAAAATAGAAAAACCAACCATAACCAACATAAATTTAACAGCATTTACAGTAAAAGACCCTCCAGAGCCATTCAGTCTAATCACCTTCTGCCATACAGGAAAAACACAATCAAAGCACCCCCAACAGATGGCCGCCCAGCCTTTGTAATAATAATAATAATAATAATAATAATAATAATAATAATAATAGCAGGAAACCCAGAGGAGGTGGGGTGCCCGTGGAACCCCTGAGCTGCTTTCGCAGAGCCCCAAAGGCTCCCTGGAGCACAGTTTAAAAACCACTGGTGTACATGACGCATCCCTAGTTATGGGGTCCTTTTCCAGCTTAGCTGTAAATAAGGCCTTATGAAACGCATGCGTGCCTTCAAGTTACCTGTTGACTGTATTGCCGCACCGTCATGGATTTCATAGGGTTTTAAAGGCAAGGGGCACTTTGAATTGTGCCCAGTAGCAAACTGGCAGCCAGTGGAGTTGGTGCAACAGAGGAGTTGTACGCTCCCTGAGCACCACTACTGTTAGTAACCTGACTGCCGCCCGTTGGACCATCTGAAGCTTCTGAACAGTCTTCAAAGGCAGCCCCACATAGAGCGTGTTGTAGTAGTCTATACGGGATGTAACCAGAGTGTGGAGTACGCGGCCAAGTCGGACTTCCCAATGTATGTGCAGTGTAGATTATATGGCAGTGTAGACTCATATAATCCAGTTCAAAGCAGATAATAATGTGGATTACTTGATTTGATAATCTGGATTATATGGCAGCGTAGAAGGGGACACAGGCATCAATGTCTCCTAGATATCTCAAAGTGGAAACCTTCAATATGGAAATAGTTTTCATGTTTATACATAACACAGGTTGAAATGGGTAAACAAATGGTCACTTTTGCAAAATGATTCTGGTTAATTGGTACAGTGTTTGGGTTCTATCTCATTTCTTCTACATGTTACAATGTTGGAAAAGGAATATATTGTTACTTTACTTTGTGTTACTGTTTTGAAAATAACCCTTTTAGGATTGGCAACAAAACAGCATAAAAGTTGCAAAAACAATTCCCCAAATAGAGTTGATCAATAACTTTGGAAAGTTGTTAGAAACTCTAAAATGTCCTTTTGCTTTTAACTCTTTACGTGGCTTTACACTACTGGAGTGGAAGGATAAGTCTGAGTAAAGTTGGGAGAAAGAACCCTCGCTTTCTCACTCACTCACTCACTCACTCACTCACTCACTCACTCACTCTCTGCCTGTGGGCATAGTCTTTTGAAAGGGAGTCATTGCCTCAAGCAGCCTGGATGTTTATTCCCGTGGGTGTGCCACAGCAGCATTCTGGGTCTGTTTGGAGAAACGTTACTCAGATAAGTTTTTTAGGAGGAACCTGTTTTTCCTTCTTGTGAGACATCTCTAATTGGTTTACATCAGTGTTTCTCAAACCTGGGGATCGGGACCCCAGAGGGGGTCACGAGGGGGTGTCAGAGGGGTTGCCACAACATCAGAAAACACAATATTTTCTATGGTCATGGGGGTTCTGTCGAAATAATGTAAGGCCTTTGAAGCAAGGTGGGGTTCCTTTAGTACACTCAATAGTTGAGTCTAGAGTCTGAGTCTGTTTATAGTTGAATCTAGAGCAGTGGTTCTCAGCCTTCCTAATGCCACGGCCCCTTAATACAGGTCCTCATGTTGTGCTGACTCCCAACCATAACATTATTTTTGTTGATACCTCATAACTGTAATTTTGCTACTGTTATGAATCACGATGTAAATATCTGATAAGCAGGATGTATTTTCATCCACTGGACCAAATTTGGCACAACTACCTGATATGCCCAAATTTGAATACTGGTGGGGTTGGGTGTGTGTGTGATTTTACCACTTTGGAGTTGTAATCGTTGGGATTGATAGTTCACCTACAATCAAAGAGCATTCTGAACTCTACCAATGATGGAATTGAACCAAACCTGACACACAGAACTCGCATGACCAACAGAAAATACTGGGTTTGGTAGGCATTAACCTTTAGTTTGGGAGTTGTAGTTCACCTACATCCAGAGTGCACTGTGTACTCAAACAATGATCAATCTGGACCAAACTTGGCACAAACACTCAATATGTCCAAATGTGAACTCAGGTGAAGTTTGGGGAACATAGACCTTAGAATCATAGAATCATAGAATCAAAGAGTTGGAAGAGACCTCATGGGCCATCCAGTCCAACCCCCTGCCAAGAAGCTGGAATATTGCATTCAAATAACCCCTGACAGATGGCCATCCAGCCTCTGTTTAAAAACTTCCAAAGAAGGAGCCTCCACCACGCTCCAGGCAGAGAGTTCCACTGCTGAACGGCTCTCACAGTCAGGAAGTTCTTCCTCATGTTCAGATGGAATCTCCTTGACATTTGGGAGCTGTAGTTGTTGAGATGTATAGTTCACCTACAGTCAAAGAGCATTCTGAACCCCACCAATGATAGAATTGGGCCAAACTTCCCACACAGAACCCCCATTGCAAACAGAAAATATTATATATTCTGACAGTGTTCGGCAACCTCTCTGACGCCCCCTTGCGACCCCTCCAGGGGTCCCGACCCCCAGGTTGAGAAACACTGATCTAGAGTCTGAGTCTGTTTATAGTTGAATCTAGAGTCTGAGTCTGTTTACAGTATGGCTCCTTCTTTTTTTTTTAAAAAAAAGGTTAGCTTTTAAATGCAGAAGTGATGAATTAAGGTCTTAATGGAAGCCTTCTTAGATTCATAGGTATTTGACAATATTTGATCCTGGCCAAGTCACTTTGGTCAGTTGATGCTATTTTGTCCAGGCATTGCAAATATGTCAATGCAGCTTGGTATGAAGATGGTGAAATTGTTACTTGCTGCAGCAGTTGATTAGAGGAAGTGCAAAGGGGGAACTTGCAGAGGTAGTTGTATCAAGCTTTAGGGAAGTTGCTCCCGCAACATTGGTGGAATGGCCAAGAATAACTAACCACAACGGTAGAAGTTTTCTTCTCTATTGCAGGTTGCTACATGGCAATTGCTGTATCTCTTATTGTATTTGTAATATGTGGAGGCACCAGTAAGAATTTCCTATTCTTTGGTAACCTCTGCAGGCGTTGGTTCTCCAGATGTTCTGCACCAGGAATTGTGTAAATCAGCAACATCTGGAGAGTCAAACATCTCACTTGCATGCTTCTTATGCTTCCATTTCTCTGGAGCATTTGGAATGACCCTCAGCTTGGTTTGGTTTTTACGATTTTTAACATAGATGTAGTTTGACAGGGAAACACAGATTATGGCCTTGGATGCCACTCTTGGATGTCGTTTTGATGACCCTTGAAGTCTCTTTCCACAAGTACCCCCCACACATGCATCATATGATTTTGGGGGACTTTGTGCTTCACAACCATACAGGTAAAGGTAAAGGTTTTCCCCTGATATTAAGTCCAGTTGTGTCCAACTTTTGAGTGTTGGTGCTCATCTCCATTCCTAAGCTGAAGAGCCAGTGTTGTCCATAGACACCTCCAAGGTCATGTGGCCTTCCTGCCGGAGTGGTACCTTTTGATCTAC